GTTAGTAGAGGCGTTCGTATCCTGAGGTACCACTGTATATTCTACCAGCATGTTCACCCACTAAAGAAAAGAATGCAGTCACATAAATATATTTTTTCAAATTGCAAGTAAATATAGACATAGTATGGCATGTAGAGTTTCACCTCTATTATTTAACTGCATTATTTTTCAGATAGCAAATTAACTAGAAATATAGTTTGAAGTAGAAGTGATAAAATATTTGATGTCTTAGTTATCTTTTAAAAACTGGATTAGTGCATAAGAATGTTGTTTTTCATTTTCCATTGTTTTAGCATCTGCAGATAAGGAATTATCCAAGAAGCATCTAGAGAGAAGTTATGATTAGAACTCATGGTTTTTAAAAAAACATTCTTAAATTCTGGGGTTCAAAAATAATAACTGAAATAATATAAATATTAATTTTAATGGGCAATAGAAAATTAAATATAATTTCAGTTCAGTATTCAATAAAATCTTGATTCAATGGATCATTTGGGTGGAAGGGGTGCCCATTAATCCTACATGTCTGTTAAATCTGGAAGATACTTTTTTGCATGTGTAAAAAATCCATCCACTATTATGTGCATGTGTAATAGAATAGACTAGGCCTCTTCTTTCAAACTGATCATATTTGGCTATAGCCACCATCTTGTCCTATTCATATTACATGCACACACACACATATACATGCACGTGCGCACGTGCATGCACACACACTGTGAATATAGTTATGCTCCTGAACTAGTCCTTTCTTGCAACTGCTTGCAACAGAGAGCACCAATCAGTCTTCTTTGTTGCCTCCTAGCTTTGTGCTGGAAGCCTAGTGGCTCTAAGGAGTGCAACTTGTCCCTTCTCTTCTTTACCAAGACTACAATCTTCTACTACAAATGATGTTATAGCACAACCTGCTCGTGTGTATGATCCCTGATCTTCTCAATGCCTTTCCACCAATCTTCCCATCATTACTACTGATCTTCCAGCTGGCCCATGTACCCTCCTAATCTTTTCAATGTCTTCCCACCAACATCAGGAAAATCCCAGTTTTTGGATGTTGTCCATTATTCTAAGGAGGGAACACATCTGAGCTCAAATTTTGTCTTTTGCATCCAAGTTTTTACTATATCTAATATAGTATTAGATATATTACTATATCTAATATGAATATGATAACCATTTTAGATAATTTAAAAAAATGTTAAAATACCCAGAATCCTTAAATATCTATATGTTCAGAAATAACAGCTATGTGATGAAGGTACAGGACCAAAAGGAGGACATTTCTTCATATAAAATGAAATGGTATTAGGAATATAATTAGGAATACTGGATAAAAGGGGATTTATATATCCTTTATGTTTCTACTGCTGAATTTAGAAAGCCAGTGTTTATATTTATTTAACCTATTGAGTAATAATTATAATTTTCACAAGTGCAGGAATTCATTTTTACTCATCGTTGTCTCTTTTCACATAATGGAATATATTAAAATATGTATTACTATAGTTCCAATTCAATGGTAAGTATGTATGGGGATTTTTTGTGTCAAATCAAATTGTTACATATGTGTGCTTTTGCACCTCAATTATACTGCATTAATTCTCTCTATAGGCTATTTTTGCCTTGAATGCCTGAATTCATTCTGAATTCATGGATGTAAACTTTAGTGCCCTGGGATTTGCCACAGGGGGGCATGTCTTCCTGGGCTGAATCCTCATTCTGGGCTGAACTGCAACTGTGTCATAAGACTACCACAAGTACCAGTTCAACAAAGCACATTCAGTGTGCTTGAGACACCCTAGTTTTCATTGAGTTGTTGTATCTCCCAATTCTTCACATAGCACTAGAAAAAAGTGAAACACCATTTTTATTGTTTTGCATTTTTATCCACTATATGAAAGGTTTTTTTGACATTTATTACTTGACTGCAGCCCCCACCTTTCCCTGATTTGCCAAATGTATGGCCAAGTCTGAAGATATTGAACTGAATTGGAAATAAGTGATATTGTAGTGCCAACTGAGAAACAGAAGTTTGTCAAAATTAATCTGGCCATAACTGACAAATTTTGTACATTTTTCAATTTGGTTACCATAGGTTAATGTTTCTTAAACTTTTTTTCCTCTCTGGACCCCTTCCCACTTTTAAAAATTATGGAGTACCCCAAGAGTTTTTGTTTGTGTGAGTTATATTTATTGATATTTACCGTATTAAAAATTAAAATTGACACATTCACTGCTGCTACTACTTCTCACAATTGTGTGATGGGATTTTAATACTGTGTTATTTTTCAACATAGGCTGGCAAATAATTTTGATTTTGCAAACTCCTGAGAGGGTTTTGGGGGACCCCCAGGACCATGCTTTAAGAAACACTGCTATAAATCCTTATACTGTATTCTATTTTTTATGACCCAACATTTTAATACAGATTTAAATTATGTACTTGGATTTATTCTATTTCAGTCTTTTTATTTTTCTTGTTATTAACTCTGTATTTATTGTAGTATTACAATTTTTACTTGATTTAGATTGCCTCTTTTTTTTTAAGCATAAGTAAGTTACTGAAGAACTTTAAATTATAGGAAAGCAATTGTTTTATCTGTGTCCAGCACTGAACAGCATTATACATCTTTCATAAATAAAGGACTTAACAGGGCAATTCCCACCTTCACTATAATCACAACTTTCACTGCACTTAAAATTTCACAAGGCAGCATACAGTAATTAAACAAGTTGATGATTCTGAAACTAAGTATCACAGAATTAAAAGTGCTGTACAGGTAGTTCTTGGATTACGACCATTCGTTCAGTGACCATTCGAAGTTACGACAGTGCTGAATGAATGGTAGTTACGATCAGTCCTCAAAGTTCCAGCTGTTGCAGCACCTGGTCACGTGATCAAAATTTGGGTGCTTGGTGACTGGCCTGCATTTATCACTGGTTGTAGCCTCCAATGGTCACATTCTCCTGCCCTGCGCGAACTGCCTCTGCTTCAACTCCCCCCACCCACCTGGATCCCCGGCCAGCAGCAGGAGGAAGAAGATGGCAGAGGTCAGCTGGGGTGGGCGGCAGGGGTAGGTGGCAGAGTGCAGTGCAGCCAAAAGGGCAGAGTTGGGGGGAAATAGGTGGGTGGGCGGAACTGAAGCAGAGGCTGTTTGCGCAGGGCAGGAGAAGCATGAGATCCTGGCCTAATGACCACATGGTCCTGGTCTAACAACTGCAAAAGGGACTGCTGTTGCTAAGTGGCACAGTCACGTGATGTTTTGCTTAACAACCGCTTCGCTTAGCAATTGTGATGGAATGGACTTATGAAGGCCAGGCTCAGGGAGATAAGCGTGTTCTTAGCCCCCAGAAAGAGCGTGGGATGTTCAAGAAGATGAGGCTGGCACCTCCCTAAGGAATTCATGGTGTTGTGGTTGGCTGGCTTGGGAACTAGGGTTCAGTCTGGAGAGATTTCTGTCTTGAGGTTGGAACTAATAAACGCAACAGAATTGTATTTGCATTGTCTCTTGGAGTTTTTTGGGCTGAACCTGACAGCAGTGGAAATTCTGGTCCCAATTAGGGTTGTAACCCAAGGACTACGTGTACTGTGATTCAACTTTGCAATAAATTTCTATTCTAAGTTACATACTAGCAAGAAACTTTCAAATTGGCTGACTATACTGAATTCTGATAAATGTAATATCAAGTATCTTTATTACAGTCTTTGACCAGCCTTTACAGTAGGAAAATAAAAATAGTTTGGTACAGCAATTCATTATCAAGGAAAAATGAAAACAATAAGACCATAAAACAATGTATCTAATTAAAAGTTTAATGTAAACATAGACAGGATATTAAATGTAATATCCATTGCACCATGTATACATTTTCAAGTTGTAAAATATTGCAAATATTTAATCTGTTATATACCCTTAAATATAGTAGCAATAATTTTAAATGAAATTATCGGTATGACTAGATGTTACAGCTGGAAAATCTTTGAGTATGCACAAATGGAAAGTCTGGCTTACTTATATCCTCAAATGTAATTAGAACTTTTGTTGTTAATAAGATAGACTGGCTATTTTCTTTGTCAGCTATGAAGATACCTACATGGTACAATCATCCGCCAGGTCATAAATGTTATGTATTTTGCCTGCCCTGAGAGGTTAAGTGTCCTCTTATGGGAATCTTGAGTGTTGTGGAACTCCTCCACCCCGCCCCCCCAATATAATAAAAATCTAAAATAAAACCAAAACTGCAAGTAAGATATGATTGATCACTTGCTGCCACCACACACACACACACACACACACCCCTGCTAAGTCTGGGACGCATGCAAATGGCTAATATATATGGCTCAGAATCCTGAAGTTCTTATGATTTAGTTTCTCTATCAAAGAAATTGCTGCTTTCTTGTAGTGTCATCATCCCATGTGGCAGTGGGCTGTGTGAATGAGTTACGTACTTACAATACAACATAGAAAGACGTTAGAAGAGTAAAGAATTCAAATTCAAATTGAATAGAAAATGTTAAACAAAACTAAAATAGGCTCATTGAATTTTCAAGTTACTACTAACAAGAAAAAATGAATTGCATTAACAACTATATGGTGTTTTGGCAGAGGTAGGATTTCCTTTTTGCCCGTTATAATGCACAGGAAATATGCTGAGTGGGCAAAAGAAAAACTGTTATCAATACTGTTTAACTCATTATTGTTTACAAGACCTAATATTATTTGAGTGTAATTCTAATACCAGTATTAAATGTGTTCAATAATATTTCAGCCTGTAGTAGTCGTAGTAGTAGTAGTAGTTCTTCATAGACAGGATGTTAATGTTTGTGCTGAGCTAAACTCAAATGGTGATAATTGCTTTTCCCTTTGTCTCCTGTGCCCTCTCCACCAGTCACTCATTTAATTGCTCACCTGCTCATTGCTTTTCAATCTGTTAAGGTATATCACTTTTCCTCTCTACAAGCTGCGCAGTGGTTTTAAAAAGGCAGTCTTTATTCAGTGAGGTAATTACAGATGGGACATGCTAATCAGCTTGTAAGTGTGCCAGAGGCCATGTTCATTTTATAATCTTAGATAAATGGATTGCCTTGGCTCAAAATAAGGGCTTGGCTGATTGCCAATATTTGGGGTTAGGAATTATTAGCTGGTGACAATATGGGAGAGCAGATTAAAGGAAGCGGGGAGGTAGAGGTAATAATTTATACTATCTCCTTCTCCTTCAATCCCAAATGGCTGTGGTTATTGGGTCCAAAGGAAGGGGAAAGCAGTAGAAGCTTGTTACATCTTAGGGACTGAAGCAACTTTTAGGAGGGAACATTTCTCTCAATATGTCTCTCAGTGGTGGCGAAGCCACGTGACTTTGGGCCAATGCGGTTTGTATTTCCTTAAATTCAGCAATTTAGTTTTTTTATGTATATGTGATGGGCTATAATTTATTCCTGTAAGAAGAGTTTGACTTCAAACATTTGTATAGCATGGCAAATATTTAAAATGCTTAGTTACCAGCAGGGCATCAAGACTGAGAGGCTATTTTAAGTTCTCTTATAGGCGCCTTGTGATATGTAAAATTGCCAATAAGCAGCTTTTTTGCCTCTGGTGAATCTTGCACTGGAGACTACGAATAATTTTAAAAGGCATCATTTCTTATATATATGTATTTTATCCTCATATTGCCTCTTATTTAAATGGTTTGAAGGAGAGGTTTTTGAAACAATTCCAAAATCTGTAAAATCTATTTAACAGAATTAAATGATGAGTATGTATATTTCCTTTTTGTTTATTAACAAATTCTCCACAGAAGTGATACTTGGTTTATAAGCTGGAGCACTTGAAATTCCCAGGATTACTTACTTTCTATTCCGCTTTCGAACATGGTTGTAGGCTTCCAGACCTTCTGTTAGTGTTTTCAATCTGTCAGGCTCCACCTGAGGGAAGGCATGAACAACAAATCACATTACCTAGACACTCAGTTATTTCAGAGTTAAACTCAGTTTCAAGAAGTCATAGTAATAGCTCCAACTTCACAGCTATAATACAAAGGAATACATGAATTTATATTTCAATTTTGTGAAAAACTAAAGTATTTTCTGTGTTCCTCAAAATACTTAATATAATCAGTTACAGTATATACAGTATAATATAAATTATACTACCTTTACTAAGCTAACCCATAAAATATAATCTAATTGCCACTGCATGCAAAAAATAAAGTAATATCTCTAATTGCTTACCAAATTGTTCATAATATCTTAAGTATTTCAAGATGTATATTGAAAGCATGTATTTTGTATGTTAACACTGAAATGTTAAGTTTGTTGATAATGAATCATACATATATAAATAGGAATATTTGAAATTCACCCATTCATAAATTTAGTAAAGTCCAAGGTCCTAATTTCTGCATTAGAAGAATTCTAGCTCAAACATAAGGCAAGCTGGACTACTACTTCTTGTCATATGCCATTTTAAATAAGGGTTAAGTTTAGCAACATAGGTAGCAACTGCCCAAAAAAGCAATGTGTAAGAAAAATCACATAGTTGTATTCATGTGGGGCATAAGTTTACTTTATGGAGTACAGCCCAAAGCGAGTTTACTTATAACACCCACTGCAGTATCTCCCAGAGCTTCATCTCTCAATAGTAATACTTATTTGCTTTGGTAAAAAAACTCTCATAAGGAAAGGCAGAATAACATTTTAAGACAAGTGTGGCAGACCAATAGCAGTGTTCCATTTGCCTCAGGTGAGAGATTCCTTTGGATTTTGCGGAGACAACCAAAGCTCACCAGGAAGATTGGGCCCGCCATACGATTTTTAAGTGGCAAGCAAAGGAAGTGCTTTCTCAGATAATAATCCATTGTCTTAATATTGTTAATTATTAAAACACTGAATATAAATTTTGTTTTGGCACCAGTACTGCAGAATACAATTTAGCTCACTGTAATTAACAACAAAGCTACAAATTGGGCAACACAGAGACTTCAGCTGCACTGAAGTAATAAAAATTATATATTTCAGTAGCAGATGGTTTTAGTCAATTCTGTTCCTAGCTGAACTTTGTAAATGCTTGAATTGTTTTCTATAGCCATATGTACAAATGACATTACAAATTATTATGTGTAAATAACTTTGTTTTTCAAATAGTATTAAAAAAAACTTCACTTCATTTCACTAACAAAAAACATCTAAATTAACATTTCACTTACAATAAACATCTAAATTAACATTTGAAGTCTGAAACAATGCTATTATTACATCCTTTATTACTTTGGGTTGATCATATCCTCTATTACTTTGGTGAGGATTTTTTTTAAACAGTTTCATTTAAATAATAGCTTTTAACACCAATAATTGCTAATTTATACATTTTATGAATGCATGAACCATTACAACATTAATACTCCTAAGGACTTCATTAAAAGCAGCTGCAAAAGTAAAGCACAGAGCTTCCATCCTGAATATCTGCACTATGTAACTGCCTGCAGCGCCATGTTAAAGACGTCCTCCTCTAACTTTGATACAAGTTTGTGTTTGTGAGGCGGCATTGATAATGCTACTTGGTATTCAATGGCTTTCTGAGTGATTGTGGACACCACTAATTACAAAAAGGGTAAATGAAGAGCTTTGCTAGGAAATCTGAAAGTTACTATGCTACTACAGTGCCTTCCCCTTTCTGAAAGAAAATTTCTGTGATGGAATGTATCTATGAGGGGGGAGGTAGTCTGATGGAATGCAGTAGAGAACCAGGTTCTCTACTGCATTCCATCACATTTTCATTTGTTGTAGGACAATATTAACCCAGGTGTTAGAGTGGTCCTACCAAAATTTAAAAGTAGCTGTAATACCTGTTGAATAAGTATATCTACTACTGCTTCAGTCTCGTCACTCTTCTGATGCTTTATTAGAACACGCTGAGACAATGAATATACATTGGTAAATGACTATTTACTCAAGAGGTGGAGTGCTTTTAAATTAAAGACAATCTTTCCCCAAAGGAAAAGACATAGAAAAACTAATCTGCCTCCATTATCATACTCTCAAATCATCTACGACAAACCTCTAATTTTAAAAGTAAATTAGTAGGAGTGGAGAAAACAATATTCCTTTCAGATCAATACATTAAAATAGTCCTGCACTTCACCTCTTTAGACTAGGAAATCTAACTGATGGTCCTCAGCCCTACATCCTACATTGGAGGATGGCTTCAATTCACAATATCTACCATGAGAACAACCTGCATAATATTTAATTGATTTTTAATAAGAATATAGCAGTTTATATAGAAATATTGGTTGCACTAGGCAGTCATTAACATTGAGAGTAAGCATTTCAATCTAAGATGTATATAGGTACCTCTAATTGTTGTTGGAAGAGCATTAAGGGACATTTTACCATGCATGGTGGACTTGTGAAAAAGTGAAAAAAATACTGGTTACAAATACATATGGTGATGCAGAGAATTTTAAAAATCAATATTCAATTGAAACCAAAACTTTTCTTACTAGGATTTATGGATAGCCAACTAGAAAAGACTCATGGAGGTTGGTTTTATATATGGTAACTGCAGTGAGGCTATTGTATGCACAAAGATGGAAAGAAAAAGAAATACCTACAATGGAAGAGTGGATTGTGAAGATGGCAGAACTTGCAGAAATGGCTAAATTGACTTGTTTGATGAGGGAAGGAGCAATCGCTACTTTTATAAAAGACTGGAAACCCTTCATGGACTTTTTGCTGAAAATGGATAAAAAATAAACTAGTGATTTTTGAATTTACTGATTGAAAAGGGCTGTATACGGGAAGAAGGGAACTATGTTATGTAATTTGGGAGAGCAGAAACAGTATTAACTATGTTTGTAACTGCTGCAAAGAAGATCAGAAGTTGCTTCTTTAAGTATTTCTTTTTTCTGGATCTATACTGTTTACCCTCCCTCCCTCCCTCCCTCCCTTCCCCTTTTTCGCTTTTCTATATTCTTTTTTTAATTTTTCTGTAGCATTTAACTTCA